ACCAAAAGAAGTCGACAATTGGATTTCCTGGTCCGAGCTCTTAGAAAAACGATCGGAACTCGACGATCGGGTCAACCGCTATGTTGTGCCGAAGTTCCACAAGAAGGAACGCTTGGATCGCCACGATAAGCAGTTGGTTATGGACCATCTCATTCTTGCACTCTATACGATGCCCCTGGGACCTTTGCGGAATGAGTACGCGGAATGCATCTTTTTCGTGAAGGACCACAAAAACGATTGCGTTGCGATGAAGCCCGGTGACGTCAATGTCGTCGAGTTGAACGAAGATCTCAAAAAGTGTTTCTTTCACATTGGTCGACACAAGACCCTCGAAAAAGATGGCGTTCGTTGCCTTGAGGTTCCCGAAGATCTCGTAAAGGTTATACTCAGATCCTTTAATCTCATCCCGCGAAAACATCTGATCCTCAAGAAGCATTATCTCGTCTGGAAAGATGAATCGATATCGAATTTCACTGTGGTTCTCAACGACCTCGGTCAGCGCCAATTTGGTAGAAATCTTAGTTGCACGCTGCTCAGACACGTTTCACATACGGAACGTACTCTAAAGCTCATGTCTCGCGGTGAAGTACGAGCAAAGGCGCAGTACATGGGCCACAGTATGAGAACCGCGGATGAACTCTACAACAGACGATACGAATGAGTGGGCGACTCCCTCCTTTCTGCACTTTGTGTGCGTTTTCGGAAGAAGCACTTTTTCTGTGTTAGATTTACTAGGAGGCATCGGTTGCATCCCAGCTATGGAATCGACGAATCACAATCATGGATCAACCGCCTGTGCTGCTTGTTTAGAGGCGAACATTTATAAGAACGAACATCCGGCCAAGAAGAGAGAATATTCAAAGAGCTACTATCAAGTACACAAGGACGAGATTCTCTTGAAAAGGGCTCTGGAACGGATCGCGAAAGGAAGTAGAACAAGCAAACGGACGAAACAACGACTCTACGAGGCACAGATTGCTATCCCCTGGATTCGATCGTACTAAGCAACACGTCTTTGCACGTGTGGGCTCCGTCGAATGCCGCGTTCCATGTCGAACGAAATTTTCTGGGGTTGAAACTATAGGGGGCTCCGAACCTCCTTTGGTCTGTTGAAAACCATGGCAACAAATTCGATCGCGGGCGTGTTGGAAGCGTATGCACAAGAAGGTCTATACGCTATCCCGGCAAAAGTTAGAGCAACGGACGAAGGATCGAAGGAGATTCTGGCAACGATGCCGCATACGAAAGGCAATCACGCTATACGAACGGTGTCCGATTGGAGAATGGCAAGGGATCGAATCATGGAAAAGATTGAAAAAGAACGATACAACTTCTTGGCAATAAAGACGGGAGCCATTTCGGACATCTTCGTGCTCGATATAGACACACGAGACAAACCGGGAAAAGATCTCCAAGCTGGCATGCCTCTCTGGAATAGATTAATTGTGGAACACGGAGAACCAAACACTTTAAAAGCCACTTCTGCCAGCGGAGGCCTCCATTACTACTTCTCGTACGGTGAATCACTCAAAGACGGACTCCAATCAGGAAAGTGTTTTGCTGGAGTGGACTACGATGGTCAGTATTATGGACTCGATGGGCGCGGAGATGGAGGCATCGTTCTGGCCTTGCCAGGCTCACCTGAGATTGGGTTGAATTACACTTGGTGCGCACAACCCTCAAGGACAAACATCCGACCAGCTCCATCATGGTTGATCCAATTCCTCAACAATTCAGCTGGAAGATCCGCAAAGAAGGGCCTCGTGTCGACCTCGAGCGATCGAATCCAAGAGCTGTCAGCAAACGGTGCTGATTTCGAGCACGCATGCGGGCTCGAATTGCCAAACATTGAAGAAAACATACAAACGGAAAAGGACACCGAGATTTTACACGAGACACGATCAATCGAGCACGAAAGAATTGCCGATGCAATGATGGCTTTGTTGCGAAACAACAGACCCGATACGAACGTTCGATTCTCCGGCAACGTGACCTTCCGTGGTCCATACGGTATGCTCTATTCATTCATCTGTGATGGTCCACGAACGTGCATACACGGCCATCAACACGATGGCAGCAATAATCTGACGCTCGTAAAGCGAGGTTGGACGGTATTCTATCGATGCTTTGGCATCGAATGCACAGAAAAGCCTCTTGCGTTGCTCGGCAATATCCCTCTTCCAGCATCGTTGCTGGATGCCAATCATGTACGTGTGCATCCCACGCACGATTGGTCTACCTTTCCCAACAATATAAGGACCCTGTCAGACGCTGTTGTGGAGGCACATATCAACCTCATAAGGCGGAATGTGACGCAGCGCTATCAGGGAATGGCAGCCATTTTCTCGGCTGTGTATCTCGTTGACGGACGCATTATTGCTGAGGGTAAAACATTTCAATACTGGAACGGTTGCCGATGGATCATCGACGATGCGTTTCAAATACAAAGTGTATTTAGTAGCCACATGTCCCGTATCATGTCTTGGTATGCGAAGCAGAGACTCAATGCCTTCAAGCAAAAACTCCGCGCACATATGAGAGACGCTGCAACATGGCAAAACGCACCCCCAACACCGGAATCGGCTCTTCCGGATTGGGCATTGAACCCAACGACTGAGGAAGAGCGAAAAATATGCACCGCCGCATGGAAATCAGTCAACCAGAACTACCCATATCCCGAGAAGCGTGACCTTGTAGACCTGACGCGGGGATCTGAGGTCCGTGTTTGCCTCGAATTTGTTACGAATGCACTGCAAGCCCCCCAATCTCTTAGTGACTTGATGGATATTGCCAATCCGTATCTGTTTGCATGCGCGAACGGAATAATCAACACCCAGACGGGAACCTTGCTCGCATTTCATCCTTCTCATCTATGTTCGCGTGCGTCAAAGGCAGCTTTCCGTGGAATGCCACAAGCTGGAAGCCGATTCGAAAAGTTTTTGCTCGATTGCTTCAACGAAGACAGAGAAGTGCTCGAATGGTATCAACTTTTCTGCGGCTACTGTATGAGTACAGATACTAGCGAACAGTTGTTCTTAATCAAGCAAGGTGCTGGGGCTAATGGTAAATCATTGACAAAACTAGTGGCAAATTCCGAGGTTCTAGGTAGCTATGCTGTCGTTATGTCTCAGGACTGCATTATCGAGGCCGGCAAACCGGCGGCCGGATCTGCATCGAGTCATATCATGGCGCTTCGCAGCGGAAGGCTAGCGGAAACCGACGAGTCAGGTGAGAAGGCCGTATTAAACGAGGCTGCAATGAAAGCGCTCTCGGGGTCTGGCACGACTACTGAGCGCGAACTGCACACCAAACAAGAAACGTTCCAGATCACCGTGAAAACTGTTCTCAACACGAACTACCGGCCTATTCTTCATAACGTATCCTATTGTGTAACCAGGCGTTTGGCACTCCTTCCAATGTTGGTCACTTTTCTCCCACCTAAGAAACTCGATCCGAGCAAACCCCGCCAAAAGCTCATCGATACTACGCTTGAAACGTATTTGCAAAGCGACCAGGGGCGAGAAGAGGGTCTTTCCTGGTACGTAGAGGGGGCCAAACGGTATCACGAGCTGAAGCGTGCAAATCCAGGCAGTCTGCCATTAATGCGGCGTCCTCGCGTCATGGAGGAAGCTGTTAAAGCCTACATAAATGATTCGGACATTGCTAGACGGTGGATCGAAGACTGTCTTGATTTCGAAGATATCAGACCGGGGGCCAGACCGACATGGCACTTAGCCGTCGGCGAACGGCTTGGAGAGGCGTTCCGAGCTTGGTTGAAGGAAGAAGACTTGACAAGCTCTTTGTCGGCAACGACGCTGAAAAAGCGCATTTTGGATTATGCTGAGGGAAAGAATCGGGTGGTTGCAGACGGTCGGTTCACGGACACCCAAGTGCAATATCGAGGACAGTTCAAAGGCCTTTCGGGGGTTCGACTGAAATCTGGCTATGCATCGCATGCGATGGAGTAAGTGACGACGCTTCGAATAAGCGCTTACATGCAGAGGGGAGCTATAGACTTTGCAAGCTGATTGATATATTTTTTTAAGTCTAAGTTTTGGGCTTCTGGTCTGCAGACCAAAAGTCTGTAAGACCACGATTTCAAGTATTTTCGATTTCATAAATCTCCAGGGGCCTCGATTGCTATAATAGAAAAGATGTGGAATCCGGGTCTTCTGGGCTTCTGGTCTGC